TAAATAAATAGTCACATTTCAATTGCAGAAATAATACATATAAAAATTAAGCATTCTAGTAAAATGTTTGTTTACAATTCTTTATTTTTTGACACATTTCTATGAATATTTTATTACATGGAAAATGTTTTTTAATGCATTTATACATGAAATATAGGACAAGACCAAACACAACACATATGCATACGCATATATAAAATAAATAGTTTAAATATAAGCTTTCGTTTCCACTAAAACAATATGTTACTTTGATTTTACAAATTAGAAAATATTCACGTTTGACTTTTTTCTATTTAATACATTCATATCACAGTTCCTTTTCGTATTGGCTCTAATGTCACACATTTCTCAACAAACCTTTTTAATAATTGTTATTTTAAAAGCACAACACAAGCCCAGTCAAGTAAAACCACATTATATCACTAATGCATCCAAACGCAACAAAGCATCAAACAAAACATCTTTGGAGGCCTTTTGCGCGCTGCGTTTTGAGGTTTCAGCRGTTGCAACACTGCAGGTCAACCATGCAGCTTTTTCAGCAAACTCAGCRTCAGGCTGGAAGTACGGCACAGAAACAGAAACACGTCGGTCCACTCACGTTTCGGACAYGGCAGAGCTCAACAGAGAAGAAGCAAACAACAGCAGGACGATCACAAACCCGACTAGGATTTCATCACGACAAAACCCTGAGGGCGTCTGTCAGCACCTTGATCTCATCCTTCACACTTTCCAGTCCCCCTTGGATCTTCAGGGGGTTGTCCAGGACTTCGACAGTGCAAGTGTACGGATCAAACCTGACCGAGAAGGGACGCTTGATGCCAGCTACGTAGGTCCTGGTGAAAGTTTGGGACAGAAACAGGTGGTAAAGTGCAAAACCTAAAATTATAGACCTGAGAGTTTCAATTAGCTAAAAAAAATTTCAGGTTTGTGGTGTGTGGGAACGAAAAGKGGGGGAACAGTTTTCATAACATATGAACCAGCACTGTACACAAGTACTGTTTGTGGATTCTATATTCATTTTGCTTTTCCAAACATCCCCATGCTGATTTTCTCATCTAGTGTGGCGAGGAGGTCAAAAGCTGTGTTCCACTGGAGGCTGACGACTGTCAAAACACTCACTGAAGCTACTTGTTTCGAAGAGCAGTATTTCATGTGTTTGCCAAATAAAACTCCAGCATTTTTATGGGTAAGAAAGGCTATATTAGTAGCAGCTGTTTTCTGGTTGCAATGGCTGACCCACAAAAGTTTGTGGCCTCTGGGTTTGGCTGGCTGTTCCCTGACCTTGTCCTGACATAACCCCTTTTTCATTTTCTCCCTTTTTTTGTCTCTTATATGATCACAAGTGTTTTTTTTTCTGGTTCAGTACAGAGACAGTACCTGAATTTCTCCTTGGCATCCAAAAAACTCTCCGAAACAAAGTAGACAGGCTGGTATGTCTGGTCTTGATAAGGCTGCACCGCCGCAGCCTCGGGATCAAACTCTCGGGTCTCTGGTTCATCCGACAGGCAGTGCTGGAAGGAGGTAACAGGAAAAAGAATTAGCTGGGAGATCAGCTGGCTTTGATTCTTGTTTTGAAAGAAAGAGGAAAACACACGGGAACATACCACAAGTTCTCCGTAAGAGGAAAGCAGTCCTGCCCCGTAAGCCTTAACCTCACCATTTTGTTTACAAAGGCCATACTCGACTGTGAACCAGTAGAGCTGGTGGGAAAAACAAAAAGTGACAGATTAAAAACTTTGCAAAACTATTAAGCATGAAGAATCAGYGATTTTGAGTCTGTCCTTCCTTGGTAGTTTTAATGCACTCCCTTTGTTTTGTTAAAGTTTTCTTACTGTCGACAGTTTCTCAATATCTTCGTCTGATGCCCCCAGGGATGCTAGTCCAAGGTTCTGCCCCCAAAAAACAACCAATATTTGTTTTTAAAACATTGCAGCACAACATYAAAAATAATAAACCTTTCAAGATGTTTGGACTCTAACCTGTGAAAACTGGGCAAAAGTGCGGTCAGCCAGCATGGGAACGTGGCCCAGCAGTTCATGGACACAGTCACTGATATATAATAACAAATTAAAAGCACACAATTTAACTCATTATGGACTCGATGATCACAAGAATGAAATTAAACTCGTCAAGTTTTATTTTGTAAACACTRTAAATCCACACACTGCCGGCGCACAAGGTGACCTGCAGTAATGTGATACAAAAAGGTGTCGCAGGTGTTCTCACGGTTCTGGGGAGTGCATGGGAGACGAAGCGTGCCGGATGTACTGGGTACACTGGAACACTCGGAACGCCAGACTGGCCAGGAAGTCTCTGGCTGAGAGCAGGCCTGCCACCGGACGCAGCTGAAAGCCCGTGCGTTCTGTGAGCAGTTCAAGAAGCAGAAATAATCAGACCCCCGACGCAACGGCGCGTCTGTGTTTAGATTTCATTTCTTCCAGCGCTTCACGCCGCAGACAGCACCTTTGAGGAAGCGTGACACGTCTTCCAACTGGGGAATGTTGTCTGGACTGTACCCGCAGTGCCTTTCCAGCAGACGAAAGGCCTCGAGGTGTTCTTTGCAGGCATGGGTGGTGTACAAATCCCTCAAGGTTGAATAGACTTGTTGCCTGAATGGAGACATTTTAAGTCAAATCTATGTTGCTTGTGGTGTTCATAAAATTAATTCTGCAACACAATTGTGCTGTGGTCCATCGCCTTTCTGTTTAATCTTTGACTCTTCTCCTCCTTTATCTGTTTTATTTTGAAACGTGTATCCAGTAATTAGACATGACATGACCTCTAACCGATACAGTGAGTGAAACTTCTCATTCAGTTTCATTGCAACGTTCTCATGGGAAAACTTATTAATCTATTCATAGCTCCAGCCTCAGCAGGGCCTGTAGAAACATGTTTCAGAATGAGTCAAAGAACATGATGCTAATTTTGATGCGACCCGAGCCGATCTTTTGAAAGAAATCTGTTGCTAATGTTGTGGTCTACCAAAAACCTCAGGAAACCTCCAGAGGTCGTAAATGTCTATCTGGTGCTGAAAGAGGGACTCGCTCATATTGTCTGCCTGATAACTGCACGTCTTCATTACTTTTGTGCTTTTATTTAAAAGCTGAAAAGTATTGTTTTATCGCTCATTCAGTAACAATTCATTCATTCATTCTCCCAGAATACAGTTTGATTCATCATTAGAATTCATCTGCCTTGAAAATWAGATCAAAGTGATTTAGTTTATGAGTGCGCTGACTTTAAAATTAAAACATCTTTCATAAGATTACAACAAATAAAAATAAACAGCAGCTCTYACCATGTGCTAATCTCCTCCTCCGTGTATTCCACTCTGGGTATTGGCAGCCCGCTGGACACAAATGTGAATATATTTGTCAGGAAATTGTAAAAACATTCATCATTGTATTTTTTTTTCTTTACATAAAAGTTGTCTTTAGAACAACTCGACAAAAAGGCTGCATCTCACAATTTATATGTGAAAGCGATGTTGCCGATCATTTTTCTTCTCTGTCTGTAGACAGGATCTGTGTAGCCCTGGTGAAATAAAACATATTTGTACGTAACAACATAATGGTCCAAAAGCATAGCCCGCCATGTGAAGYAAATTATGTTTCTGCTCTTTTATGCTTCTGGCAAAATGCATTACTTACAGGATGGTCTTGATCTAAGTCTGGATCAAATTTTGTGACCAGATGATGRCATCTGTCCAGATCAGCCATTTTCTTTGGGAACCAATGAACTATTACAGAAAACATAAAAAGAAAAAAAAAGACATCAGTTGTGGGGCTTTTTTAAAGTTTACTTGAGCAAAACAGATGGAAGCTTTTACATGTCTTGTATGAAATTTTAAAAAGTAAAAATGTGAAATCACATTTGACTTCTTTAGTGGTTTTGACATCCTCTGCGTTCCTTTTGATGGAGCTGACCAAAGTGCTGACRTCTGACAGGTGGACCTCACAGCGGACAAAGTACTCCAGACCTTGAAGGCTGTCTYTAAGCTTCCGGCACGGTCGCGTCTCCAAGTGGTGAATCTTGGCTTCAAATGTCTAAAACACAATTATCRATCTGACAAATGAGTTTGTTAAAAATGCACAACATGCGATTAAGGTGGAAACCCATAACAGAGCACAGATATGACATAAAACATCATCCTGAAATGAATTAAACTGAAGGGAAATAGACATTTTTGGACAAATGATGTGGGAAAAATAACATAAATTTATACTTTTTGGTTGTTGGGAAAAAACCACTAAAAACAAGTACTTTAAATCCTTTAGGGTGAAAGTAAAAACCAACTTATTTTTTAAAATATATGTTTACAGTGACATAATCATTAAAATTTTTGAAACACATAGCTAATTATAACAAAACTTTTAGAATTACTTTAAGAACTTATATATTTTTTTACGTAATTAATGAAAAATAAGTCCAGATAAACTGGATTAATAGTTTAACTTTTATATAAGTGTTATTTTATTATGAATAAGTGTAAAACAAATTACATAATTAATCATTTAACTATACAGGTGTTTAATGAAACACCAGTTCTTAAAAATGTTTTCTCTTGTCGTACCTCAAAAACCTTGAGTGTCCGGGACAGTGCGGGCGTCTTGGAGCTCCTTAAAACGAAGAAGACGTTGAGAAGCGCTTTTCCATCTTCCTCCTCAAACACGATCTGTTCGCTGGCCTCAGCAGCCTCCGCCGCTGCAGCCGCGGCTTCCCTCTCCTTCCGCGCATCTTCGATCAAGCTCTGGCGTCTGCCAACGAATCTCGGAGACTGCTCCAGTAAAACACAGAAATCACAGTGTGCATTTTTATCCTGATGTTTGTCTCACAAGCAGAGCGCACAAACACGACAGCAGATAGACAGAGACAGAGAGAGAGACAGCTGCTAAGTTGTTCTTACTAAAATTATGTCTTTTTGGGCATTTGATGGGAGCGCTTTCCATCTCCAAATGCGCACAGGAACAGCAACGCAATCGAGGCAAGTCCTAAAACATAGCTGCCACAACRCGTTATAACTTTGGGATTCATTAGGACGTACGTTTATATTTATTCGTCTTTCTTTTATTTATTCTTTTTGATTTTTTACTTATTTGGTTCAAATATTTTGCGCGTCCTCTGCGTAAAATTTTGGGCACTGCCGATGCGTAATGGGCATGTCGCCACCCGTTCTTTGCGCTTATTTTGAAATGTAGAATTCAAAGTTTTAAAAGAGATCTCTCCAAAATAGAGCTAAAGGCGGAAGMTTGAAATAAGAGCTGTAAATTGTCCTCTGCGGGTTTGTCTTACCGTGATGGAGTCCGACCTCTCCAACTCGGATGCTGCTCTGCGGATGCTCTTGGTGGAGGACGTGGAGCTGCTTGAAAGGGGCATCTTTAGGCTTATAAATTGCGACGAYGGTTGCTTGTAACAGGCGTGACAGCGTATTTGTTGCGCTCTCTAACCTTCTTAGTCTGTGCCAAGAGTTTTTTCTTCGTTTTTTTTTTCTTACCAAACAGGTTGGCTCTTTTTATAGGACCATTTGTTTGCAGTTTCTGACGTCAAACACCCTAATCTCCATCTGATCAATCGGTGCGCTGAATCCATCAAACTCATCCTAACTATAATCTGTCCATAGAAAATGCACATGTTTTTATAAWGACAAAATTTCAATTTGATTCAAGCATTTTCTAAATGTTTGGCACTTAATCACTGACATTTTAGGGCTTGTGTGAAATTAGTAAATCAATATAAATATTTTATATTTATTAGATGAAAATAAGAATTAATTTTACAGCTAGTTAAAACACTCTAGTTATTATATTCAAAGCTTTGACCTCAGGGCTTTATTTTAAAGGTTAGACCAAAGAAAAGTCAACTGTGGAAAATTAAGTCACTTTATCAGCTCAATCCAATCTCCACAGCTCCTGAGAAATTAGATTTAATTGTGGGTGAGGAGGGGAAGAACACACGTGCACACAACAGGGTAAAGAAACAAGTTAGTTTTTTTTTTTTCGCTTCCAACCTCGGCAACAAGCACATCAGGTGGATCTGCAGTGCTTTTGGCTGACGACTTTAGTGGTTAACATGATTGTGGATGATGTACGGTGCCCATAGGCTAGATCGGGTAAAAGGATTATTCGTGGACCTCTGGCCTCAGCAGCAACCTTGCAAGGGTGCAGAAAATGCAGATGGGGTTCTGTGTAACTCCTGCCTGAACCTGAACACTCAGGCTGAAAATGCTAAAGAGCACTGATGTAACCCTGGAAAACAGTGACTTTTTCCTTTTTTTGGAGGATGACACTGCTAATCTAAAAGGAAGAAATAAGGCAAACTGACAGTAATATAAGATTTAGACCTTCCTACTTTGTTTAAACCAGAGGAAATTGACAAGTTGTTTTAAATGCATAGTTTTTCTTATCTTGATCATTTTTGATATATGACGTAAAAGGCTGAACTACCAACAGAAGCTTGACATTTATCCAGAGATAGGAACGATCATCAATTTTATGCTTTCTTCCATCTCCTTTTAAGTAGTTAAGAAAATCAGATATAGATGACAAGTGCTCAAACATAATATCGTCTGCTTTTATAGTTTATGAGTCACTGTTGGGGTTTATACACAACTATTTATATTTATTACCTTTTTATATATAGTTAAACAAAAAATACCTTTTTAACCTTATTTAAAATTCCACTGAGAGCCCTTTTTTACTTTCTGTACAAGTTTTATTTTCATTCTGACAGCACAAAACAGTCAAACCAAGCATGAATTGCAAATAAAACATTTTCGTAAGACTGTTTCTGCTGCTCCAGCCAGAAGACGTCTGTCCTGAAGCTTCAATTCCAGCAGCAGATAAAGACAGAGTGGCTGATGCCAACAAGTCACATCTGGGCAAAATTGTCTCACCACTCACTCTTCCCTGAGTCTGAACACCTCCTCCTGTCGCTGAGCAGAAGCCACCTGCACTAAACGCTGTCAATGTCCTGTTCCAAGAACAAGAGCCCATCATGACCCTGCTGGGAGAAACTCAATTATGAGAACCAAAGAAGGTAAACATCAGTTGATTGTGGTTGGATAGGCACAATGAAAAACTAAACCCAACTATTCTGCACATTTTTTCAACATGTTGAAATTATATTAAGTGTATTAAGTACGTAGTGTAGGATATTAAGTCTATTTTTAGTTTTATTTCCCTTTTTTTGTGTCATGTTTTGGTTTGAATTTGATATGTGGAGCCTCAAGCACTATGTGAATGGTTCTTTTTGTTAACGTGTTTTTATTACACATTTTTAATTGTGTGTGTGCATGATACGTACGCTTTGTACCACTGCAATACAAATTTACCTTTTTGGTATAAATAAAGTACCCAAACCAAACCAAACCAAAC